TCGTGATGCAATTTTAATTAATTAACAATTTTTTTTTCACATCGTTCATTATGAAATATTAGTGAGCATTTATTAATTAATAAACGTTACACGTTCGTATTAATTATTACGAAAGTGCACATTAAATTGAGTTCTCGGTAAAAAAAAATAAAAGATTAATGTGTTTTATTTCATTTTTATAATTATTACTATACTCGAGCAAAACGTAAAAATCCAACGAGAATGTGTTAATTAAGCAAAGTTCTCACATAGTGGCTTAAAAAATATATATGTAATTTCATTTGAAAAATTACACTTAGTTATTTTATTGACAAGTTGTTATTATTATTGTAATTATTCATGCTCCGTGTCACTGGTAATCTCGAACGGATAATATTATTAAATATTTTTTTATACTATTCGATTATTTATTAATATTTTTTTAAGTGAAGAATTTGGTTTACAGATGTTATTATAAGAGCGTTTGTAGATATATGTGTATGTGATTAATTACGGACGCTTTAGTAGTAGAATAATAATAATAATAATAACGATAATTAATTGAAAGCAATTAAAAAACAAAGAACGAATAGATTATTTCTGGTCTTGTATTCCGGTTTTTATTTTTGTTTCAGATGGTGTGTGTAGAGTATAATAATATTAATGTACCTATTTTGTTTTGTGCTCACACACAACGTCATACCTTTGGTAGACTTTCTGATTTAACGGCCCCGAAGGGTAATTAATAACAATCTATTTTACCGTATGCATTAATGTGTGCTGCACGAGCCTAGATTGTAGATTTTATTGTATAAAATGGGATTTTTTTTTTTTCATGTAAATGCAAACCGTCATACCGTGAAAGGGTTTATTGTAGACACACGATGATGGTAAACGTTACTTTTTGTACATAATATTAATCGTTTATTTAAAATAATGAATTCCTAGTGATGGTGTAGGTTTAATTTAGAATTTTTTTTTGTTCAAAGACCGTATGAATAATTAATAACGAATCTCGGAGAGTCCACTTTAATAATAATTAATAAACGTTAACGGTGCGCGTGGGGCCGAATTAAATATCATTTTGATAATAATTTTTTTAACATCGTGTCATACTTGTTTGTAACTACAGTGCGGTCTCGTCGGGTCGTGTGTGTGTACACATTATAATATTTCCGAGAAACGAGAATTACTGGTTTTTACATTGACCGCCGCCTGTCGTTTTCCCTCAAAATGTTTGGGAGTAGCGTAGGGTCAAAATAAAAAAAGACAATGTTATCGTCCGCTGAAATCTTCTTGGTTTTTATTATGTGGTTACCATCATCATTCGGTACGAAACGCATCCACGTCTTGTACGCGCTCGTATACGGTAGCTGCCGTGTGTACATCTACACAGTAAAAAAGTACTTTTTCTGTAGCGTTATAAATTTATTTGCCTCGTTCAACGGTCAAAAACGTCTAAATATTTTGACCACTTAATGCGCCACCGAAATCTCGGGACGCTCATATATTATATTTTTTACTATCCGCTGGTGTACACAAAAATGTATCCTACGCAATGGGACGGTGGAAAAAACTGCGTCGGTTTTAATCGATTACCGGTTGGTATTAGTATTATTTTTTACCGTCGCTGCAAAATACATACAGGCCGCACAACAATGACTGACGACTGCCTCTAGTGTCATGTCTGCATGTTTCATGTCTGTGTATTTATGTTTGTGCGTTTGACGGACTTCATTTGAAATTCAAGATGGCCGGCCGGCCGGCCGTCGTTTGTGTGTCGCCTCCACCTCCCTCGTCGTTATAATAAAATCTAAGCAATAACAGTGGTGTATTACAGCTGACAATAATATTAATAAAAAACCATATTTATTACCTCCGTATCATTTGTTGTAGTGAACATTTTTGTAAAAATATCGGATTTAATTCGTTGTGTACAGTGTTGTTGAGTCGTCCAAGCACATTTTTTTTTTTGTCAAAACGATAATCCTCTGGACATTTCTACTTGTGCGCCCAAGTGCCGATGATGTAAAAATTGTTTACTCAATTCTCTGTAGACGTCCAGTTATAACACAATCGCTCGTAATGTATTTTCGGTAAAACAATGTGTGGCATGCGTCTGGGCCGAGTGTGTAGTACACCCGCAGGGTCTTGCATACATAATTAACGCTGTTGCCGTGATTTATCGTCGGGGTGCTGCAGGTGCCGTAGAGTATTTAAAAAAAAATGCTCCAAAGCAGTTTGATAGTATAAAAGAAAATTAATGCGCGCATAGGGTATAACATAAATATTCCAAGTACTCAGATTAGTAGATAATTCGGGTTGTTTACAAATTTCTTCGATCTCTTTTATTATTCAACGAATTTTAATTATCGTCTTTATGTTCGTTAGGCTATCGCGTTTGAAAAATCAACGTTTTTTAAACGCTCAGTTTTTAGTAATTGTGTTTTCGAGAAAACACACGAATTTGACGTTTAGTTTTTCTCTTTAGTTATTTGAGTTCTACTGAACAATGTGTAATTATTGATCACATCTCGTTGCTGGCCTATACGTATTTTTATTGGAAAAGTAAATATTTTCTTCATTTTCGAAATTCTCGTTTCAGCAAAACAATAGTTCTCTTAGCAGAGTTGTTAAAGAACACCTTAAAAATAAACTTGTTCGACAGTTCTACGCGACCAGTGTAAATGTCAACATTTTCGGCGTTCGTAACATAACAACTTAATTGGATGACATTTATTTCAATATTAGTCATTTTTGATAATTCGACGTACGTTGTGGTGTATACCATTATTTTTAAATACAAATTGTGCAGCCTCAATTTTTTTTTCTTAATTAATGATTACTCTCTCATTTTTAATGTTATTCCTAATCTAATTAATATTCACTGATTATGTTCATTACGTTGGCATTTCGTTGTTGTTTTGATATTTTGTACTACAAAATAAACTATAATAGTTGTATTAATTATCAAAATATGATAGATGTAATTCAACGGGAACTCGTTTAATTATTAGATTCTGTAATGAATACCGTTGTTTAGGTTTCTGCGCGATCGGATATTACTTTTCAAACATTTCGACCTTAGTAATTTAATATTATTAACGAGAACAAACTGTTTAATTAAAATTCGAATTATGGATTACAAAATAAATTGTAAATGCGTTTGTTGATTTTCACTGGCATTGGTTGGGATTAATAAACGTAATGACTTAGATAGTGAGGTGATTTTTAAGAAAACCTACAGCCTATGATTTTCAAAAAGTTATCTTTTAATTAATTATAACTATTTTTTATCGCTAATTCGTCCTTTTTCAAAATTATTACTTTGACCTTATAGATTAGTATTTTCAGCATTCGTATGTTCTTATATACATTTTTAAATGTATTTCGTGTAATGATATTAGGATTGGCAACGTTTAAAGTCTACGGTGTGTGTGCGTTGAGTTAAGTTTATCGGTTTCCAGTGGAAACGCTGCGGTTGTTTCGCTCAGCATCTGTCCAAATAAATGCGCAGGCTCTCGTTATGTCGCCGGAACTTAAAATCCTCCTCCGAGCGGTAATGGCGGCGCCAATGAGAAATTAGAGAGGAAGGACCCCCGTTAATACAATTGCCCTTTTTTCTCTATTCTTATATAGTTTATATATGTGTACGTTCGTAAACTTTTATTTTTTTTCGTTGTGACGTTCAATCTTACGAGATCCGAACAAATTTTCGTCAATTGAAAACAAAACAAAAATCTTATTTCCATCGTTTTACCGAAAATGACTTTTTACTGTGTAGTTATTTAAAATATAAACTACAAACATTGACCACAGTCGAACTCCGCCGCCGGCCGACCACCACTCTAATAATCGCTTACCGTGAGCGGTGAACACTTTATTCTTTGCCATAAAATTATTGTTATATTTTTACCTAACAAATGTGTAATTATCGTGGTGGTCTTGTAAGTACACATTAGAGGCCGCCCGACGCCGCCGGTAATTATCCTCTAATTTGTCCCTAGTGTGGGCGGTGTTTTGGCGCCAATAATTAACCCCTAAAAAATGTGTATCGAGTCGCCGCCACCGCTGCCGTCGCTTGTCTGCTGCACGACTGAGCGTAAGATGAATCGTTTGAAGCTGAAATTTCATTCTATGAGATGTCATAAAATGAATAGCAGCGCGTTGGGACTGTTAAATGGATAGCATTTTAAAAGGAAATTATTACTTTTGGACTAGATTCGCTTTTGTTATTCTAATTACCGAGAGTTAATGATTTATATTTTTAAATGACCCGGGTCGATTAGTTTTGTTTTATTTTTTTTCGCATATAAGCAAAAGACCATTGCGTGTGTGATGTGTGCGACAATGACTTGTACGTATTCCCCGTTTGGTCATTATGCTAATATGTCGTTTTCAAACACAAAAGAGCATTGTTTTTTTCTTATTAATTTGAATTCGTCAACCGAATATATAATACATACTATTGAGATGGCGGCGGAGACCGGTTAACACAAAAACGAGTATTTAACGAAGAAGAAAAAAGGAAAAAAAATTGCCAACAAATATTGTTTTTTAAATAAAAAGATATTCGGAAGGGCTTGATTAGCAGCGTGGTTTTTGAACAATGGAAGCGTTAGTGTCACATACCAAGACAACAGCTGTACATCACCTTTTTTCTGTACGCCTGTATAATGTACAGACGTGAATTAAGACAGACACGTATCTCTTCTTTTACTTCTGCATTATATATTTTTATTCTGCAAGAATTGTATTTTATTATATAATATAATTGAAATGAGGACAGATGAAAAAAAATCGAGTACCTGTTTTGATATTGGCTACTGGATTTTTTTTTTCAATAATGTGTCGCGCGAATCTATAGATTGTTACACAAAGCATTGTCACGCTCATTTTTAATATCACTGATCAATTAAAAAAAAAAAATCCATTACTAGTTTATTAACTGATATTTGAAAATAAGTAACTAAAATATTTTTGAATTATATAAATTAAAATTATTTTTTTTTGTTTTTTAGATTGTGGTGTACGCGGGGTATGTCAAGGCAGTGGTGCGAATACATTGGTGATGATTGATAATCAGAAATGCCGTCACCGATACCAGTACAATCGTCGTCGCTTACAGGAGGAGGTCTAGTGGGCTGTGCCGCCGGATGGACATCGGCGGACACCGCACCGGAGATCAGTACAGCAAATAGCATCACTAGCAGCGACAACGCCGCAGAAGTTGTGACCAGCATGAGTCCGGAAGAGGAACAGTCTGGTTCACCAGTGACCGGAGTTATTGCCGGCCGTGATGAAGAGGAACGCCGGTTGACGTCGCCGCCGTCGGGCAGCAAGTTCGACTCGGTGGCAAGTAAACCGGACTTAACCGAGTCCGAGTCTTGGGCTAACAGCAGTGACGTAGAAAAGTTCGATGGCAAGATCGTGTACAATCCCGACGGATCGGCGTACATTATCGAAGACAACAGCGAACTGAGCGAAGAGGATGGCGTTGACTTGCCATCAGAACTGTTGGGTTCCGGCAGCATTGTCGACGGACGAGGAGTAAACCTGTCCCAAGCCGAAGTATTTCCACAGATAGCCAACGCGTTCTATGTGTCCAGAGCCAACTACGGCGACCTGTACGATCAACAAACAAACGCGCCGGCCGCAGCGGCCCTCAACAGGGTGTTTCAAGACAAGAAAATAGTTCCTGAAGTGCCGGTGATGCACAGCTACAGGGTGTACACGGTCCGAGACAAGACGGGCAATGGGACGGACATGGCCCCGGAACAGTCCAAAGACTGTTCGACGGTGCCTGTTAAACCGATACTCATGTGTTTCATATGCAAATTGTCATTTGGCTACGCCAAGTCGTTCGTGGCTCACGCCACCGGCGAACACGGCGTTACGCTACAAGAAGACGAATACAACATACTCGGACACAAAAACGCGTCAGCTATAATACAGTGTGTGGGTAAGGAGAAAGAGCCGCTGGTTTCTTTCCTCGAACCGCTCGCGCTTTCGTCAAACAAAGCTTACGCTCGGGCCTCGTCCCCGTCAAGTGCTCACAAAGTTCCTAATGCGTTTAATAACGACGGTAATCGTTCCTCCGACAGTAGCGAGCAAAAGAGCAGCTGTCCGGAAAGCCTGGTGGTGCACAGGCGCAACGCTACTCCGCCCACCTCTTCTCCGAGCATCAATACAGTTCCTGAGACTTCCGTCTCCCTACCTCAATCCGGTAGTCCTAGAAATAATGTTAACTCGTTTAGTATAAGTAAAAACAATAACTGTAGTAGTAAAGCCAGCGGCCGATCGTCCGTGTACGACTGTATTATGGACTTGACCAGGAAGAGTCCAATATCCGCGTTGGCCGTGTCGTCAGGGACGTCGGCCAGAAGCAACAGCGCCTCGCCCGGCGCCAGCCCGTCTCCGGGCACTACGCTCAGCCCTCAACTCATATCCGGCGCACCGTTGTCGTACCCGCAACCGCCGCCCAACTTCATGACTGGCACCACTATCGGCGTGTGCCCGGACCACATGAACGGCAGACCCAGCGGCGTGGACTGCGCCCGATGCGAGCTCATATTGAGCTCCTCGAGACTAGGCGGCGTAGGCGGCTCGCTGGTTGGCATGCACTCGAGAAACTCGTGCAAAACACTCAAGTGTCCCAAGTGCAATTGGCATTACAAGTATCAAGAAACTCTGGAAATACACATGAAGGAAAAGCACCCCGAGTCCGAAACGTCGTGCGTGTACTGTATAGCCGGACAACCGCACCCGCGGTTAGCCCGAGGCGAGACGTACACGTGCGGCTACAAACCGTACCGGTGCGAGGTGTGCAATTACTCGACTACGACCAAGGGAAACCTGAGCATACACATGCAGTCCGACAAACACTTGAATAACATGCAAGAGCTGCAAAACGGCGGAGTGGCGGCGGCTGGGAACGCCAGCAGTGAACTGCAGAGGCACCAAGCGTCGTCCCCTTTGCAGCATCCAAAACAGTCTTCGGCCATGAGCCCGGGCTCGACCAGCAGTCAGCACCCGGCCATGAACAGCCCATTGATCAGTCAGAAACCCAAGCCCACGTTCAGATGCGAAGTGTGCAATTACGAGACGAACGTCGCCCGCAACCTGCGTATTCACATGACGAGTGAAAAACACACGCACAACATTATGGTGCTGCAGCAGAGCGTCAAACACATGCAAACGTTGAACGCCTTGCAAAATCACCATCAACAGCAAATGAACTTTGAGTCGCTCATGCATTTCCATCCCGGACTCACGTTGTCCGGCGACAAACCACCGCCGCATTCCGAAGCCGCTTTGGCCGACATGGCCTACAACCAGGCGCTTTTAATACAGATGATGACCGGTGGTCAAATGCCACCCCACTTTTCCGGCGAAGTCTCTCCTCACGTCGACACCGACATCGGCCTCAATCCGGAAACTATGGAACCACCGCCTGAACCCGTCGACAAAAATCCCAATTTCATGTTCCAGTGCAGTACGTGTAGCACATTCGTAACCGACTCGCTCGACTCGCTGTCTCATCACTTGGCCGCCGACCGGACCAAAGTGCGCGAACAAGAAATACTTACCGTCGTCGCGGGCAATTACATATGCAATTTGTGCACCTACAAAACCAACCTGAAAGCCAACTTTCAGTTGCACTGCAAAACCGACAAACATTTACAAAGACTGCAGCACGTGAACCACGTCAAAGAGGGAGGGCTCCAAAACGAATGGAAACTCAAGTACATGTCGTCACCCGGTGGCGTACAAGTCAGATGCAACGCGTGCGACTACTACACGAACAGTACACACAAACTCCAGCTGCACTGTTCGGGACAACGACACGAAGCCGCTTCGTTACTGTTCAGATATTTGAGGGACAACGAAGTCGGCGAATCGTCCGTCTATCATTGTTTACTGTGCGAATTCTCCAGCCGAGACAAATTACCGTTGCTCCAACACGTCAGGTCCGTCAAGCACATGCAAATGGAACAACTGCACCAATTGCAAAGGCGCTCAGACGGCAAGGACGTACAAACAGACATTACAATGGTTTTCCAAGTGACTGCTGCTCCACAACAGTCTGCTTCAGTTGATAGCGACCAAGAACAAGGCAAGTTTATGCGTATTTTACTTTTAATTATTTATTTTTTTAATTACTATTTTACTCATTAGTTAAACAAACGCGCAAATATTTATAGTTATAATATTGTCATCAGTTTGTTATGAGATAGAAAACAGTTAATATATTTAAAAAACTTTTTTAAGTCCTTTTATTATTGATTAATAGTAAAAACCTATTAACTTGTGCTAACTAGTTGTAATTTTTTTATATTAAATTAAATTACATAAATTATGGTTAGTGTGATTTTTAAATTCGGTATAAATAATTATTGTTCGATTCCTAGATCAATTTTTTTTTCACCGTGAATACAAAATATTTTAATCTAATGAAATATATTAACGTTATCATTTTTAATGAGACACGCGTTACGAAGTAGCATTTTTAATTATTTGGGTTATTAAAACACGCCTAATTGTTTCTAAATCTCTCGAAACTAATGAAATACAATGTTACAGCGTTTTGTATTCAAAGTACAACGCGGTATCTCTCGTTAACCCGTTGTATTTCTCTATCTTAATTAAGAAACTAATGTATTTTAATTTATTTAAAAGAAAATTTTGATTTGCTATTAGTTTTTCTTCTATTACAAAAAAAAAAAATAGTTTTTAAAGTGAGATAACGTTTTGGATTGTTTAATTTCAAAATTAATTAATCTAGTATTTTCTGATGAAACTTTGTACCTATTTTACTAGCATAATTTTGAAATCATGATTTCAAATATGACGTTGTTAGCAGCGTTAATGAACCTAGTACAAAGAATTGTTAGTTAATAATTAATCAAGGTAATAGTCGAAATGATATCAATAAGTTTAAATTTTAATATTCGATTATTTAACTACGTTTAATGAATATTATATTTTTTTAATCTTAATATAATTTTTATTGTGCTATTGGTTTTAATAATAATGAAAGAAAAATTATTGTTAAATTTATTCTTTCTTTTTTTTTTTTTTAACCGAAACGTACTAGTTTGTATATTTATACATTTAACGCGTGACGTTGTGTATATAATATACATAAATATAAATTAAATTCTCTGGTGACAACTTATGCTAATGCGAATCATTACCGTATTGTGTGCTTAATTATCGGATAACACAAAGCCATGGCAGCAACGGGAAGACACGCATATCATTGTTTGCCATTTACGGTAGACTGAATCGATTTCATTGGTCAGGAACATTACGAGACGATTAAAAAATGTCTTCTTTTGTAGGTTAATTTCTACCAAAAGAAATAATAAGAAAAATACGAAACGCAGTTTTGATAATAATTGCGTTAATTAGTTAACATCAAAGTTCCACAATGACATGACACAATCCGTTGCGTTTTTTTCATTTTTTATTCTTTAATGTTATTTTTTTCCTGAACACTTGATTACATTTTAAATTATCTTTAATTGTATTAAAAGTGACGGGTTAGGACGGTAACAAAAGTCTCATTCTTGTAGCTCATTCATTCAACGTGTACACCCATTGTTGCTTTCATACTCCGTTGATTTTGGTTCCCACAACTGGCCGCTTAATATAGCTAATACTGTTTTAACTTAGGATAATGTACCCACAATGCATAGATTAAACTATAAAGTGATTTTTTTAACGTTTAATATTTTTTTGTTTGTTTAGATCGCGAAATTAAAGGAGACAACGATAGCCATAATATGTTGTCCATTGATGAGACAAGAGGCGATGATTCTGAGTTGATGGATCAATCTTATGTAGCCAGCGAATCGCCTAAAATTAGCGGAAATCAAGAGCAACAGACTTCTTCGTCCGATGAAAAGAAACCGGAACTTTATTGTCCACTTTGTCAGGATGTGTTTGAAGACATAATCAATTTTGAAAAACATTTAATGAAAATTCACAGCGTAAATTCTGAAGGACTGCAGCGCCTGTTGAGTCTAGTAAATCAGTCTCATTGGTTGAACTCGTCCAAATCATCACAACAGAGTCCACCGCGTGCGTCGACCAGTCCATCGTCACCAGATCTAGATAAATCAGCTGAAAAATCCGACGATGCTCAAGAACAAGACGGCGAAGAGTATAAATGTCCTACGTGTCAAAAATTATGCAAAAATATCGATGACTTGTGCCAACACCAGAACGAAACCGGCCATGTTGAAATTAAACAAACTCCTAATGGTCCGGGATACCTATGCTGGAAGAAAGGGTGCAATATGTACTTTACTACCGTACAAAATTTACATATTCATTTCCGCGAAATGCATGCTGGACAGCAAAACATATTGGTTTCTGAAAAACACGTATACAAGTATAGATGTAATCAATGCAGTCTGGCGTTTAAGACGTTGGATAAATTACAAGCTCACTCACAGTACCACGCCATCAGGGACTTGACCAAATGTATTCTGTGTAGACGTAGTTTCCGTACTGTTGCTACGTTCCAGAAGCACTTACAAACCGCTCATCCAGACTTATCTCAAGCTGATCTGGAAGCTTTAAAACAAAATTCTATGTTACAGTTTGATCAGTCTATTGATGACAAAATGGAAGTAGACGAGTCTATGGACGACGAAGAAGAAAAGGAAGAAGAACCAGAGTGCGATAACAGTGACGACTCAATTGCTTTTAAACAACAGCAACTTATTGAAGATTACATGAACGGACAAACGCTTGCTGAAGACGGTTACAATGATTCTGAACGAAAGTACAAATGTCATCGTTGTAAAGTAGCGTTTACTAATCAAAAATACCTTACCCATCACAATAAAACATTACTTCACCGAAAAGGCGAGAAACAAACATATCCTATGGAAAAATATTTGGATCCTAATCGTCCATTTAAGTGCGAAGTATGCAAAGAGTCGTTCACTCAAAAGAATATCTTATTAGTACACTATAACTCCGTTCTTCATTTACACAAATTAAAACGTTCTATGCAAGAGCAACAACAACAACTAAATAATAATAACACACCTATCTTATCTAACAACTCAGCATTCCCAGTCAACTTAGCTTCAAAAAATACAGGTGGTGGTTCTACATCTGAAGATGACGACAAAAAACCATACAAGTGTAACATATGCAAAGTAGCATACACACAAGGGTCAACATTAGACATTCATATGCGATCTGTTTTACATCAAACAAGAGCATCAAAATTGCATGATCTCGCTCTAGCCGGCCAAGTAGACTTGACTAAACCCATAATCGAACAACCTGAACAGAGCAGTAGACCACCATCACAAAATAAACAAGACGCGGAAAGCCAAGTTTCGGGTGGCAAACCAATGGACGAGACACTAACGCAGCAAACTCATCAGACTAAAGGCAATCAGCTAAGCTGCCAACGTTGTAACGCGTTGTTTTCTAATCAAGAACAATTGAATACTCATCAACAATTGTATTGTATGTTTGGTACTCCTATGAACATTTTGCCAATGAATCCAGCCTTGGCGTTTGCCAATAATCTTACAGGGGGCGCTCAAGATCCAAAATCACCGTCACAGTTAACGTTGACTGAAGAGCAACTGTTAAAAGTACCGTTGTCATTACAGGGCAAGAAACATTCTCATATGTACAAATTGTTAGAAAGCTACGGTTTTGACTTAGTAATGCAATTTAATGAAAATCACCAAAAACGTAAAGAAAATGAAAAATTATTACAAGAATTAACAGCTCAAATGGAAATGGAACAAGCCAATGCTGTCAAAGTGGAAATGAATAATGAAGTCAATGAAGAAGAGATCAGTGATTTACCTGAAGTAGCCAAATCCATATGCGTGCATTGTAATAAAGAGTTCTCCAGTGTTTGGGTTTTAAAAGCCCATTGTGAAGAAGTTCACAAAGATCTTGTACCGTTTGATTTTCTTGAAAAATACGCTAAACAGATCAAGTGTGAAATTGAAAAGAAAGGCAACGAACCCCCTTCAGCTAATATCAGCCTCCAACCCACATCTACATCAGTTTCCACTGCAACTACACCAGTGGCTAGAATCAATTCTCCTGCTGATGACGTTTCAGTTAAAACTGAATTAGACCAGGACTCCGAACAGCAAACTGACAATTCAGATTTCAACGCATCTTCTTCAGCTGCCGATTCTTCTAGTGTTAATATTCCTGGTGTTTCTCAAAATATACCTCTTTCAGTAGCCCAACACTTAAATGAAATGCAAGCCGCATTTAATGCTATGGCAGCCTCTCAAATAACACAACAACTACAACAGTTTAACCCTATGATGGTAGCTCAAATGGCTGGTTTGGGAATGGGGCTTCCGCTCGGTTTAAATATGCAAGCACTTGCTGCTATGAATTTGCAACCTCCCTTAGTTCCAATGATGATGCCACCACCCAACTTTGAGTCAATAATGGGCCAGCAGCAAAGTCAGTTGTTCAATCAGCAAACAACTAACATGGATCCTACTGGAATACTAGCTAAACAACAACAATTATTACAGCAGCAGCAACAACAAGTGGTGAGTAAAATTGTTTTAATGTAATTTGCTCAATTAATATTATACGACATTCATAAAACGATTTTAAATTTCGAGTTATCTAATAGTAACATATTTTTATTATCTTGATATAATGATTATTTAGTAATTTAGTCATATGTTCTGATTATGTATACACTTTATCCATTAAAATGCAAAATTGTTTTTATTTGTTCATTTTAATGATAAATAATACAAAATATGCTATAAAAATAGTCTAAAAAGCCTACAATTATTTTAAAAAAAATTGCAACCAAATTATTGGATTAAAAGTTGTTAATTGTATTTGGTTCACTCTCTATGTCACATTAACTTAATTTTTCTTAAAGTAATTAACTCATTAATCATCTAAATATCTATAAAAAATATTCTTTGAATTATTTTAAATAATATATAAAATAATAACTTAATATATATATATATTACAAAAATTATTATGTTTTATTAGTTTATAAATAAAAAACATGTTAAATAAACATAATATAATTATATTTAAAATTAAAAAAAATATATTAGTTTTAGATAGTTGTATTTAGAGCATAAATATTTATGATTTTTTACTTAACTTTTAATTATAATAATTATGTATAATATATCATAATATTGAAGTTAAGTATATGCGTTTTCATTGTTTGTTTTAGCAGCAAAATTCACAACAAAAGAGAGCAAGGACACGCATCACTGACGATCAATTGAAAATATTACGTGCTCACTTTGATATAAACAATTCACCATCAGAAGACCAAATTCAAGAAATGGCTAGTCAGAGTGGTCTCCCACCTAAAGTGATTAAGCATTGGTTCAGAAATACGTTGTTTAAAGAAAGACAGCGAAACAAGGACTCGCCATACAATTTTAATAATCCTCCATCCACTACTCTGAACCTAGAAGAATATGAAAAAACAGGAGAAGCGAAAGTAATGCCTCTTGCTCAGCCATTAGTTGAATCTGAAAACAAAGAAGTGCCTAAAACACCGACATTCCCTAAAAAGAAACCTATGCAAACTAGTACGCCAAACAACAGTGCTGTTAGGCCACAGTGTCAAACACCCACTTTTCCACAACAGCAATCTTTTGCTCAAAACTTTTCCAGACCATTCACTTCACAGCCAATGGAATCACCTGTTAAAATAGAAAACCAAGTTAAGACCGAAATGAAAGATGCAGAAACTAGCCAAAACGAATCTAAGTTTCCGTGGTGTAATGCAGAAGAGTCTTCAAATAAACGCCGAGATTCAGTTGAAGAAAAAGTAAATATGTTTATGCATCACGACAGAGCATCTCAAATGGACATGAATACCGTTGAAAACCTGACATTGTCTTCTATTCTTACGTCTCAACATCAAGAGATAGCTAACATGAGCAATTCAATTGCTACTAGTAACATGTTGCCACCAAAATTAGTCTCGTCTAGTTTTACATCACCACCACAAATGACTTCTACCACACAGTCGGGTCCTAGAAGTGTTAGCCCCGGTCGTTCACCTAACTCTTCTGATGGCTTTCCACATTCTATTATGATGAATCAAAGCAGTGGTGGATCAAGTGGCTCTGCTTCTGGTAAACGCGCAAATCGTACACGTTTTACTGATTGCCAAATTAAAGTTCTCCAAGAGTTCTTTGAAAATAATGCGTATCCAAAAGATGATGACTTAGAATATTTGTCAAAACTATTGAATCTTAGTCCTAGAGTGATAGTTGTTTGGTTTCAAAACGCCAGACAAAAAGCAAGAAAAGTGTACGAAAATCAACCAGCAGTTGAACCAGCACCTGGTATTGTCGAGGAAGGTTCAAATAGATTCCAGAGAACTCCCGGCTTAAATTATCAGTGTAACAAATGCTTGTTAGTATTCCAAAGATATTACGAATTAATCAGACATCAAAAAACTCATTGTTTCAAAGAAGAAGACGCTAAGAGATCCGCTCAAGCTCAAGCTGCTGCTGCTCATATTGCAGCTGCACTTAGTTCTGAAGACTCTAATTCAAGTACCGTAGAAAATCATCAGAGTCAAAGCTCCAACCCCATGACACCGACTCCTACGCCCATGTCGTCTACGCCAACTTTGAATTATCCTACTTCGCCTCCGCCGTCGTCACATGACAAAGAAAATGTCTACAGTTGTGATCATTGTAATTCGGTGTTTTCCAAATTAGACCAGTGGAAAGAACACCAACAAGTTCATTTATTGAATCCAAATTTGTTTCCCACTTATCATCCCGAAAGCGCATTTGGTATTTTACAACAACAAGCACAATTGCAACAACAACAACAACAGTTGCAACAACAGTCTCAACAAATGAGTGGCTCATCTGAAATGAGCCCAAATCCTACCTCGTTGATTTTGTCTATGATGCAACAAAATAATAAGAGATCGTTTGATGAATTTGATGATCAAAGTGATAAGGAAACTGAATTCACCAAAGATAAGCGTTTGAGAACTACTATTTTACCTGAACAATTGGATTATTTATATCAAAAATATCAAATTGAAAGCAACCCGTCTAGAAAAATGTTGGAGAGCATTGCTCAAGAAGTAGGCCTAAAAAAGCGTGTTGTTCAGGTTTGGTTTCAAAATACTAGGGCTAGAGAAAGAAAAGGGCAGTTTAGAGCACACTCGCAAGCCATTAACAAACGATGTCCATTCTGTTCGGCTATTTTCAAAATAAAATCTGCTCTTGAATCACATTTACAAACTAAACACCCTGAACAATGTTCTCGTGGTTACATTAACGTAGACAATATACCCGATGAAGATGTTAGTATGGATTCTTTTGCGTCATCTCAAATGAGTGAATTAGGCCAAAAGGGCCAATCATTTGTGTCCAATCCGTACCTTCAGAACGCAGAAGATGTAGAGAATTTGGGTAAAATGTATCAAGAGTCGCTAAAAAGATACATGGAAGAAATGCAACAATCTAGTTTGCACAATGGTTTATCTGCTGAAGGTGAAAAAACAAAACCGGAAGGAGAAATTCCATTAGACTTGAGTAAACCAGTTGATTTACGAATGGACCATGACCAAGATGATGATGACGACAGTATGTCTGAGTGCACTGATATTATGGATGACGAAAGTCCCGCTTCTCCAGCATCTAGCACTCAGAGTGGCCAACAAAGAAATAATGCACCAGGAGGCAGTCACCAAAGCAAACGGTACAGAACTCAAATGAGCAATGTGCAAGTTAGAGTTATGAAGGCGTTATTTGAAGATTACAAAACTCCTACCATGGGTGAATGCGAGATGTTAGGTCGAGAAATTGGTCTTGCTAAACGCGTTGTACAAGTATGGTTCCAAAACGCTAGAGCTAAAGAAAAGAAGTACAAATTACAATCAAAACAAGGCCAGGACACTGTTTCTGGTCTACCAGAAGAATGCAAATATTGTCGTTTCAAATATTCACATAAATACAGTATTCAAGATCACATATTTACTAGTCGGCATATCGCTTTAGTTAAACAACATGTAGAAAGCCGTATGTCAGTTGCCGATATGTCTGGAAACTGTAGCGATAATGATTTCCAAGTACCATCCACTCCTGGTGATCCACACAATAACAATTTACCAAATCAACAAGTTAACCAACTGCAAATGTTGCAATTGGCTGGACTCATTGGACAATCTCCTGTAGCACAAGCAGTTGCCATGGCTACTATTGCCAAATTGGACGGCAAGGATCAATCTCAAATGACAGCAGAAGAGTTGGCACTTTTGCCTCATTTGTACAACTTAGGAGTGAGCTTTCAACAGGGATTCATGCACCCGGGTACTGCCATGATGACTTCTCCAGGTCAGTAGTCTTATCAGTGTGTATAATTAAAATAAGTTGGATTAGTATTTGTTTATATTAGTGTAATTTTTATATTATTTATGTGACGCATATTGCACTCCCTTTCTGGCGCTATAAAAATATTATCAACCGATTGACGTAAGATATGATTGACAATAAATACTATTGTTTTGCTCTTTAATGTTCAGTAAACGTATGAGAAACTCTTAGGGCGTTAGTTGTGACGGACATGAGAATTAATTTTATTCGGCATGTAAAACGTATCTTCCGAGTCACATTGTACATGATATTTTGGCGGATTGTGAGACACATGTACACATAATATGAATAGGCATGTGGAAATTCTTTCATTCCGATTGATATATTTTTTAATAAAAAGGGTTCGGCGCGTATCGAACGCGCCCATCTCTCTCATTCCGTGCGTAATACTTAATGCATACAAAACCAGATGAATCGTTGGGGGTACGTTAATTCTGGAAACAATGTCGCGCCGTCTAACCGGCGGTGGTGGTAGATTATTACTAAAATTCGTTACGTGTCCTATAGTGAAACCGGAGAAAGGAGGAACGTCTCTCCCCAAACAAAAAAAAAAAAAATTAAATAATAGAACGTTTCAATGTATGTATTTTTAAAGGTATTCTAGGCCGGCGGTGAGTTTTTCTCCCATTGTGCTGCTATAAAATGATTCTCTCAGCGACCCCTGAAAATATATAAAATTTGAGAGCTGATTACCGGGTAGTAGTGGTGGTTGATATCATATCCTCTTAGGCTTGTTTTCTACTGGAGTATTTATTACTATATCTGGTGGTGGTACTCAAGTGTCCAGAATCCTTTGGCCGTTCGTTTCCAGGCTGTTGATGTCACAGAGAGAAACTTTATACTTATATGTATGGCCACCTGCGAAAACTTTATAAGCTCGTTGAGAGTCGAAATGAGAGTTTTCACAATATTCTGTATAAAGACTATGAAATGGAAAAAACATTTAGGGGTGATATTGGTTTTTGACTATATCTACAGACACACACACACACATTGTACTGTGGTAGTTAGCTGGGGTGTGAAATATTAATTCCACTTATATGCCCCCGCCGCCACATGTGCGGTTTCCCTTCACCACTGCTACAACCGTTATATTATTTCATTATAAAGTGCATTTTCTTTCAATGTGTATTGTCTACAAATGAGAAATTGGCGCAATAATGCAGGGTGAAGTCCTAAATGAACCTCTCCTGATGCCGAGTGGCAATCTCGACGGCCGCTGTGTGTCTATGTGTATAAGTGTGCTTAACCTTAGTAGCGATCTTGGGTTTGTGTGCTTTGTATAAATGAATGGGTCGATGAAAAGAAGTGAAAAATATTTATAACGAGCAACAGCAGCAGTATAAAGCACCATCGAATCGATGAGTAAACACAATGCTGCCGCTGTTGTACTCTCGACACCTCCTCTGGTTCCACGCGGCCGATAGGTAATATGTGTTGTAATTGTTTGAAAAAAAAAAAGAGACTCGAAAAAGAAACGATTCATTATGACCGTCCGGTAGACACGCCGCGGCTACTTGAATAATTTGCCCAATTATTATTATTATTTATTTATTATTTTGCATGCATGTATTATTATTATTTTGGTTTTATGATTTATATTTATTTATTTTTTGTTTTGTTTTGCGCTTTTTTTGTAGGATAGAAATGAGTGATAAATGAGCTATAAAAACGTAAAAAAAAAAAAAAAAAAAAATTTTTGTAACGACTGCGAAACACAAATTGGATCACACTCACGGAAGTATACAAGGTTTTCACAAATTAATTACAAAAAAAGCTAGTGGTATTTTATCCGTTGAAAGTTTGTTACACATAGTATACGCTTAGTTTCATAAGTTTTTAGCCTATGTTCGAGGTTAGTTTGTCTAGGTATATATTTATTTAGAAAATGTTGTACATCTATTTAAAACAGAATAATTCTGAGATATTGTCTAATTTAACTTATTTTATTAATTTAAATGTGAAAGCGGAAAGCCGCGTTAATTTATTATTTTATCATTAAAATCTTGATAACCATGAATTTTAAATTGATTTGACAATTTTACGAGTCGAGCAAGTGTCAGCTCGTCGTCTTCTATTTATAAGTAATAATTTATTACCTAGGCAATTGTGATATTTTAGGTTATTTATAATAATTATTTAGCATTTTGACTACACTTGTTATTTATTATTTTTTCCTTTATTCTTTTTATTTTTTTTTATTGTAATAACGTAATTTCAAAGGCTTCGCCTGCATTTGCAATAAAAAACGATTTAAAGTCGCCCATTATGGCACCCTCGTTTTCCAAAAGAAACGCAGGGGTATCTAAGCTCTAGTAATAAAAAATGGTGGCTAAAAAAGTAATTTTCTCCGTTAGTCATCACACTTCTAGGCTTTTTCTCTATTATTATTATTATTTTTGTCTCGTAAAATTTTAATTTATAATCGAATCTCCCTCACTTAAAAAAAAATGGCGGAGCCCTGAATAATAAGACTGTTAATAGTGGATAACAAAAGACATTTTTCCTCTCAACATTTTTTTAATCAGGTCGATTCCATGACACATTTTTGTTTTAGAGCGGAATGTAGGTATTTTTATATATTTAACATGTATTATAAATTTTGTGCCTTTTTTTTAAAAAAAATAAAAAAAAAGTTTAATAACTTCATAAGAAAAATATTGTTTTTCTTGTTGGTGTACATACATATGTTAATGTTAATTATTAATAATTAAATATATACATACATTTATGTAATAATAGAAATAACTATATATATATATTATATTTATAAATATATTCTTAAGTTAATTTTTCGACTGTTATTATTAAAATAAAACTAATAAAATTTATCCGTTATGTTTGCGGTATTTTTTCACCGTTGCGAATTCTGCTTGTACACCTATAAATATGTATATAAATATATGAGTTAATAATTACATTGTATTTAAAATATATGGAAATATTATATTAATTGGATTTTTTTATTTTATTTTCTTAGATTTAAAAAAAAAAATGATTATAATAACAATAGTTTGGCTAAAATCTGTAGGGGTATTATAAAAGGCTGTTACAGTACAGAATATTCATTGGGTTACAACGTACATGGAAAAAAATGTTTCTACAATAATAAGAATACATACAGTGTGTAGATATAAATTAATATGCTCATTAACATGGCTATAGTAAAAAAATAATAATGACATAAATATTATTTTTTACGTTTTGTGTAGTTTTATTTATTTTGCAATTATTATTTGTCGTTTTTGTGTACATTATTATTATTATAATTTTTTTAATCACAACACAAATCAACGAAATAATAACAATTAAAATTTAAAAAAAAAATAGCTGTTTTTAATTATTATTTTTGCATGTTGGTGGTTACGCTTGTTATTATTATTTATTTTTCTCTGGGCGACCATTCAATAGATTACAGAATTTATTCGACCCCGCACATTTGGTGTACCGGCGGCACACGAAGGGGTCGTACTGGATTGGCTCGTGCTTAGCCATATTTGCATAGTAAAAGTCCGGCACGGGTTAAAAAAAAAAAAAAATTGTCGCTTAATGTATTGTAATATGCGCAGGGTGACTGGCGGCAACCGCCATGTCGTCGACATTATTATTGTAATGAAGAAAGAAAATAAATTACACATGTATATAATTTGCTATTAACACACATGCGTACGGGTAGTGATTTACATACGAGCCCTCCTCCCTCAATATTATTTTCGTGTCTATCGTTTGTGTGCTACCGTAACGGACAAATGGAGTACAACTCGGGGCGCCCCCCCACAAACCCCATTTTCCGCGTCGGCTCGCGTTCCATATATATTTATTTAAATTATTTCTGTTTTCTTATTATTATTCTAATTCATCGCACGTACTACACCCGGATTATAACAATGTGTGTACACAGGAAATCCGCGCATACATATTGTGCACAGTGCGCTGGTGTGTTATTTGGTGTAATGCGATCAACAAAACATTTGTGTACGCTGTTACGTCACGGTTGCAATAATAAATCTCGATTTGAGGCGCGTAAAAAACAAAAATAATGGTGACGAAAAGAGAAAACGTCTCGGATCCGAAAGAAACCTTAAGACTGCCCGTGCGGCGGCGGGTAAGTGTGTCCGTTCGGAAAGACAACGGCCGGTGTTTTTAGTGTGTGTGCTGTGGGCATCTCGGGCACAACAATAACGCACAGCAATACGGTTCGTAATGGTTACGCCGCCTCCTTCCACGGAGATGGTGGTGGGCAATAATAACTGACCGGGATAACTGAACCGTGATAGTAACGTATCTATCCCGGCTTAAGTATAATATATGTGGTGCACCTTGTCAGTGGATATTGTTATGGGCGAGGAGTACGGGGAACTAATCGTTCGTTGTACACGTACCTGTACGATGATGTGACGTGCGGAGGATATTAGTAGCAGCTAAAATTATCGAACGAAACCGATGTAAAAATTAACAAAAAATATATCAAAGAAATATCGTGTGGCTATTTATAAAAAAAATCCTTGTGTGAGCGGGTTGTCGTTTGGTATTGCGGTGAAAGTCTAAGGCGGTAAAAAAAATATTACTTGTATATAATTTTAAACAATAGCGGCAATACGCGTACAAAAATGTAACATTATAATAACGATGTAAACCGTTCAAGGATATTTTTAAATCATATGGAAATGGAAAACGATTCGACTGTGTTGTTTTTGTGAGAAAATCAAAATCGCACGGTAACGGTTCTATTTTTGTGGTGTTCTGTACAATTTTTTAAGTTCATAGAGAAAATAATTAAAGGCGGTTGAATACATTAGACGTCCTCGAGCGTCGTCCACCACCCCCTTGAAATTTAGTGTCGGGCATGTCCCTGAGATAAATTTGACAGTTGTTGTATTAAAAATTCTACGAGCGTTGTTTTCTATGGAAAAAAAATATTAAAAGAGTATCTCTGACCTATCCCCGAGGTCGTTGGTCGA